CCCTTAAGCACACTCCTAAGAGACTGGGGAGTAAGATCTGTGTAATTTGGACATACCTAGCCCCAAATATGTCATTTTTCTTAGTAAACATAAATTTTATTTCTGATACTTGACATGTGAAATAAGCCCTAATTTTAGCTAGTTGTTAATATTATATTGTTAATATAGGAAGCATGGCAAGATGTTTTTTAAACTGGGTTTAATACAGAAATTTTGAGGTAATGAAGAAAAATATATTTTGGTGCTAATATTGAAGTACTCAATAAATCATTTAACAAATAGTTTTGAAAGTGTGTGACAAAAACCAAGAAGAAAATAGGTTTCAGTGTTAATATCTAAGTTTTCTATAAATGGTTCTGTTAGCAGTAGTTTAAAAATGACCAAGTGTTCAAGTGTCAAAGTAACAAGTTTAAATAGTTTAACTATGTAGAGGATATGGCATATTTTTTGCCAATATTATATATTAACTAATACCATACAGTTTTATAATTACTGCTTGGGTTTGGAATAGAGCCACAGCCTGCTCAAAGGTGGGGTTTGGAAGATTTGGGCTGTTGTTTATGCAAAGAAGGGGAAAGTAACGACCAAGAAAGTGCTTAGAGCTGGTGGAGCCGAGGAGATGGATGGCGTGTGGGCTCAGCGTTCTCGGCAAGGTCAGAGGGACTTTCTGGGGATCTGCGGTAGTGAATGTATTCAAGTCTCCCCGGTCTGCAGCCATACCTGTGACCCATCAGTGTCTTCTAAAGTTTCTGTTGTGCCCACAGGCTCTGCCATACTGATCACTAGCATTCCTGCTTGTCAGCTTTGGAAAGCTTTGGCTGGCTTTCCTGCCTGGGTGTGCTTTGCTCTAGGCAGGCTTCAGTGTGCAGTAATTTCCTACATCTCTGCTGAAAAATGACACCCGTCAGGTGATTGGATAAGAGACTGCAGGTCATGGTGGCTAGGGTCTGTTGCCTAAAAGAGCAAGAGCAGATAAAAGGTGCTGGAAAAGCCTCACGAATTTGTTCACTATTGCAGAAATTTTCAGTTGAAACTAAAACTTTCCCCTGATAGTTGCAGAAGAAATGATAAAACTGAAACCTTGCAATGAGCGGAGTCCTGTAGGCAAGAGATCTCCGGCCTTTGGCCTTGCTGTGCTGATAGTTCCAGCGCTGCACAGCCCAGCCCCGTCTCCTGAGGCCCTTTTGCCTTGGGACTCTACAGAGAATGCATTGGCTATTATTTTGAGTGCTTATTGATGCCTTAAAGCTTCTGCCTCAGCTTAGTAGTAGCCCATGACATTTGAAGTGTGAAATATGAAACTTATGAGCTGAGGTACCCAGAGTACAGCCACACACATGTTAAAGATTCTGCAAGGCTGGCTAAAGTTCTTGTACATGGAGAGTTGGAATGTTGCAATCTAGAACCAAAGTACATTGGGTTATTTTCAGCTCCTTTTAGTAGCCACATTATCCACCTGTGTCTCACCTAGCTTCCTTTGACTATCATGTAAAACCTTTGAGAAGTATTCACTTTTATAGATCACGGAATTCCTCCAAACTCAAAGCTAAGAGTGTCATCAGATAGAGTGTGCAACCTATAATGGAGGTTTCTACACTTCGCTGTAACTGCCTATCTGATGTTTTCACTAGTGTATTGAAAAGTGCCTTGATTTTGTTCTATAATTATAAAAATGTCATGAAATTGTGTTCACATTACAACATGGTATTTGAGGTCATTTGAACCCATGTTCCTGGGCCATGGTCACTCATACTTGGCCTAAGACTGAACTGTTCTCTTTTTCCTTTTGAGGCGTACTTTGTATTGCCAAGTCTGTAAATGGGACTTTAGTTAGCCTGATCAAAACTGTTTTTTTAACGCCATAGAATAGAATTGATTTGTATAGAATCCTCTTAACATGTTATAGGCTCTTAGAAAATAATTATACGGTAAGGATCATAATGTAAGCCTGGAATTTTTTTTTTGGTAGAATTCAGTCCAGCTATAAAAAGCTACAAACATCTATCTTGTATTCATTAACTGCTTTCATTACACCACCTGTTTTTGTCTTCTTGTCCACCAGCTTTCTGTCTGGAGGCTGTACATACTTCTGTTTGCTAGCAGAATGGCCTCTGACTTTTTAATAGAAATATTTCTAGGGATTGTTGGGCTTGCCCAGGGACAAGTGCACAGGTGTCCGCAGCCCTTCTTGGAGAACAGCTGAATATAAACACTTGCTGGCACATGTACTTTCTCAACACTTCTGGCCATAGCAGGTGGCTTGTAGACATTTCTCCAGTGACCCACAAAAGGGAAGCTGTCCTTCCCCATTAGAAAGAGTCTGGCTGGATCTACTCAGCACTAGAAATGAGTGCCTAATTGTTACATGCAGCAGTGTGAACGAGTCTGAAACTGACCATTACAGCAGAAGAATACATTCTGTGTGCTGACATGCTTGTAAATCCTAGGGGATGCAAGTGCCTTGAGAGTGATGGATGAGACTGTTAAGGATGTGGCAATCCAGGGTATATGATATTTTATTATTGTTATTATAGGTTTTTAATACTGGTTTTTAACCCAGGGCCCCTCACATACTAGCTAAACACTCTTGCCAGTAAGCTACATCACCCGGCATTTAAAAAAATTATTTTGAAACAGGATCTTGCTAAGTTGCCCACACTAGCTTTGAACTTGACATCTTCCTGCTGGGATTACAGTTATATGTTTGTATTCCTGGCTCTGTCTTTAACTTGAATGTGGCTACAGATTCATATGTGTATACATCTGTCAATATCTGTCAGTTGATGTATTTTCTACATGTATAGTAGAATGTTTTTCTGTTATACCATGTATATGCTAGAAGGGGAAATAAATTATCATTTTTTTAACAAAAATTAGCGCCACAGACAACAGTTAACTAGAAAAAGAAATTTCAAATTGAACAGAACAAACTGAAAACTCCACTTTCACAGAAAAGGTACCATGTCTCATGACTTGCTTCCATATGATTTTAATATTATTGTTTTGAAGCAGGCTTTCACTATATAGCCTTAGTTAGCCTGCAACTTGCTGTGTAGACCATGCTGGTCTCAGACTTGTAGGCAATTCTCCTGCCTGTCTCTCAGGTGCTAGGTTTACAGTCCTGTGCCATCACTGCCAGCTTCTATCTTGAGTTTTGATTGATGGTCAGGGAATTCTGTTTAAATTGTCAAGATTAGAGATTTAGAACAGGGCAGACCTGGGTTTGGCTTAGTCACCTGCCCTAGCTGTGTGACTTTGGGCAAGGTAGACTCTCTGTTTTGGTTTTTCCTTCTCTGGGAAAACAGAACTGCAGAAGCATAATGAGTGCTCCGAAGATGGAAGCACTTGTTAACACTTTCATTAATTGTGTGTCTTGATTCCTGTGGGGCTCAAAGTTAGATGGTCTTGAGCAAGAAAATAGAGTGTCTTAACTTCACAGGGAGTTGGTTTCTGTGGAATTAGCAGAAACGGGAAGAGAAGGACCGTCCTGGGGAGGGACAGGTGCTCAGGTGAGCTGTGTTTCTTCTGTGTGCCTGATGGGATCATCAAGCCATTAGGGAACTACTTACCTGCTCTCTCTGCTTTCAGGTCACCTCCAACCTGCTCAGGCATCATTGTTTTGAGTTCATTAATCTTTTTCTTTGCTGAATAATGATATCATTGCTCAAAAAGACCATATTTCTGATTGATTATTGAAGATCAATTCTGACATTTAGTAGGTATTGCTTTTTGTTTGTTGATATTAAACAAAATATATTTGCCATTTACTGTAGGAAAAATGTTTGATGTTTTTAAATGTTTTGCTTAAATTTGAAAGACTTTGTTTTATTAACTTGTTAGCTGTGGATAATTTATAAAACTAACAGCGTGTACTAATAGGAGAGTGAAAGTTGGTCTCGTTGTCCTCAGGTAAACATTGTGGTTTGTGAAAACAGAACTCTTAAATTGGGTGGAGATCTCTAATTCAAGGGTTTGTTGATGCATTGCAGATGCTAGCCAGAGGACAGTCTAGGTTCTCCAATAAGTTTTTTAGAATCCTAGCAACAGGAATAGTAAACTAGTAGAAATAGGTCCACTGGGCCAGATCGAAGGGCAAATTTTGATACTGGAATTTGAGGAATGTGTAAGCTGTGTATGTTGAATCTACTTACCTATAGATTAGGCAAACATTATGCCAGATAAAGAGAGCCTGGGATTGGAAGGCATTCTGTAAGGAGTGCTGCTCTGGATTGGTGAATTATATGTTTTCTTTGGGCTACCAGCTCACAAATAACAACATGGAGACATTAATTTTGAACGCTTGGCCTTAGCTTAGGTTAGGGTTGTTTCAACTAGCCTTAGATTAACCCATTTTTTATTAATCTATGTTCTGCCACATGGTGTTACTTCATCTCCATACACACTGCCCATCCTGCTTCCTCTGTGTCTACCTGGCAACCTCTTTCTTCCTCCTATCATTCTCTCTCTGCCCGGAAGTCCACCTATCTCTCCTGCCTAGCTATTGGCCATTCAGCTTTTTATTACAAAAATCACAGCAATATACTTCACAGTGTACAAATATCCCACAACAGCTCTGGGCTTAGTGAGAGCACTGAGCTGGCATCAGGCATGATGGATTTCAAGTCAACAGTTTCAGCATACACCCAGAAAGGAGCCTCTGCACCAGTGAATTGAATCACTCTCTGTTTGCTTTGATGTTGAACTTAGGCCTTTGTAGTTGAACATAGGACATCCAAATTTGTTATTTCATCATTGATGTATACATTTGTATACACCTAGAATGGTACAAGAATTTTTTGTTTGTTTTTGAAAAGACAGGTCCAGGTTTTTATAAGTTTTAATATTTATCATCTTGCACTAGCATATTGCAAATGAGTTTGTTTGCTGTTTGATTTATTTAGAATGTTATAATTGACGTGGCTAGCTGAAAGACAAATTTGATGCCAAGCAAGGGTAGACTACGTTATGACTCAGTGTACCTTTCCTCTGGGTCTCTGCAGGGCTGGAGGTCCGGTGGGTGGACTGCTACTTTCCCTTTACCCATCCTTCCTTCGAGATGGAGATCAACTTCCGTGGAGAATGGCTTGAAGTCCTTGGCTGTGGAGTGATGGAACAGCAGCTTGTCAATTCAGGTAGGAAAGAACCCCATACTACATTTACAGGTTTCCTAGAGGACCTGTCTATTCTCATGTGACCTCATCTGCACAATTACCTACAGTTGTGTCACCAGGGACATCATCACCAGCCTCTCCAAGAATGCCCACGAGACCCATCTCTGATGCTGGGCTTGTCACTCCTCATTTTGCAAATGTGTCCTATCTTTGGAGATCCCTTTTGTCAGCTCTTGGCAGCTAGATCTGCATCTTAGGATTCTGTACTCATTGGAGGGGTTGGGGAGGGTGTTGTAATTGCCCCAAAGGCATTTATGTATGTGTCACATGAGTGCAGTTTGTCTTCCCAGCTATTCAAGAATAAAGCTAATACATAATCCTTTTTTGTTCTTATTGCATTCAGTTCAGTAGCCAGAATTCAGGAGAGATTTTATAACTACACTACAGCATAAAATAAAACCACACAGGCCCATGTTACTGAGTTGTTCCCCACTGTCAGCAAAGGTATTACCATCAAGTGAAAGAACCTGGACAGACATGGAGCTAATTAAATTCTAACCAAACTTGAGAAAGCTCTTTGCAACTCTTTTCTAGGGGACCGTTAACTAATAAAAATGACACCATTTAGACTTGGCTTCAGAACTGTGCATTTTAAAAATATGAGTATATGAATTTAGTTATGAAAGGTTTTTTTTTTTTTTTTTTTTTTTTTTTAAGGGCTAGGGATGTAGCTTAGTTAGTCAAGGCTTGCCTAACATGCATAAAGCCCTGGATTTGATCCTCAGCACTACATAAAATTGAGCATGGTGATGTAGGTCTATAATCCCAGTACTCAGGAGGTAGAGGTAGAAGGATCAGAAGTTCAAGGACAACCCCCTTTGCTCCTCCATCTTGCCTCCCTCTCCATTACATATTCCTTGGTCAAAGTGACCTTGGGAGCTGTGGTGTGTTGCCTGATCTGCTTTAATTGCAAATGTTCATTGCCATAAGTTGTTTGCTGGTTAATGGCCTCTGTCTTCTAGTACACTGTCAATACTGGACCCTCACAAAACTGTTCTTGGATAGATACTCTTGCTGTTGTCCCGAGTATTGGAGATCTCTGGCTATAGTTTGGAAGGACTGGTCCCTTCATGCATTCCAGCATGCCGTAGATAGGTAGATGTTGGGGTGGGCCAACTCAAAACTCTGAATATAGGCCTGGGTGGTAGGTGAGTTGGTCAGCTGGGGCCCCTGCTTGGACTGCGCCCCCTCAGGTGAGGGGTGGGGCCATCTCTCCTATGAGGGGCGAGGCTAGCTCTCCCAAGGCCAGCTCATCATGGCTCTAGGACATCAACATGGCTTTAGGTGGCAGTCCAGACCACTGGCATCTGAATGGCTTTTGGTGGTAACAAGGGCCAGGTACATCAACACAGACCCCAGCTGCAGTAGATCCGTGGACCCAGACATGGCCCCAGTGGCAACACAGGTCCAGATATCACGTGGCCTCAAGTGGTGGTGCAGGCCTCTCACATCAGGCTGTTCCTCAGCACTGTCACATCTTCAGTTCCACCTCTCTCCACAGCGCATGAACTGCTCTGCTTCTCTTTCTCTCCCATCTCTCCACCAGACACTTACTCATTATATTGACTCCCTGCCTGCGTTGCCTGGTGGCAGCAGGTGGTCCTCTGGCCACTGTCTCTACCCATCATGGCAGCAGGCCTACAGTGCCTATTCTTAAAGCATGAGATGAGCTTGATAATTTACATGAGCACTGGAGTTGGCCTTGCTATACATGTTTTCATGTCTACAGCATGTTTTTTTCCAAATGGTTCATAGAATGTACCTTTTCTCTTCTTCCTTGTGCTCTATATATTCACTGTGACGTTCATGCTCCTAGACTTAGTAATTGTGATGTGAGTGTTGTCTGTTCTCCTGATGATTTGGCTAACCACCTCACACTCCCTGCTTTGAGGACAATATTGAGTCATGTCCCAATGCTATACAGTTTCCCACTGGGATGACTCAGGTTGCTTCTGTCTATTCGTATGGGGTATGGGATACAAACATCTGAAGCCATCACCAAGGGATGATGACTGGATATGATTGTGCCAGGAAGGAATTTATCATTCATTGACCCTTTTGAGGTTCCTAAGATTATACATAGACCAAGGCAGAGAGAAAGGTCTGTGGTGGAAAATAGCTTAAAACACTCTATCTGTGTCTCTGATGGCTAATCATGGTTGTCAACTTGACCACATCTGGAATTGACTAAAACTGGAGCAGTTAGGTACACCTGTGAGAGATTTCTTTGATTGGATCATTTGAGGTGGGATGACCCACCCTAAATCTGGGTTATTTGAAGCCAGAAGACCCACCCTAAATCTGGGCCACATCTACTTGTGGCAGTCCACACCAAAGGACATGGAAAAAGGAAGCTTTGTATTTTTCCTTGCTTGCCCTCACTCTCACTGACAAGTTCATCTGTCCTATTGCTAAGTTATTCCTTCACTGGGATTAGAGCCCACTTCTAGATTCCAGCATAGTCTGAAGACCAGCTGAGACATCCAGCCTAGTGGGCTGAACAACTACCAGGTTCTTGGCCTTTCTATCAGGAGATAGTGATTGTTGGACTGGCCAGATCATAGGCTGTAAGCCACTCTAATAGATCCCGCTTTAGTATACATATTCATTCTACTAGCTGCGTTCCTTTAGAGAACTCTGATGTACAATTTCCTTGCCTCCTTGGTGAATTGCAAAATGGATTCTTGGAAAACCTTTGTAAATCTATTCATTATCAGTTTCTAGTGTTAAACAATTATTGTTTGCCTGTTTTGTATAAAAATTTTCTTTCAGTCTTTCTAAGGCTAGTAGAGAACAGAGTCAGTATTGCCCCTTTGAGACTATTATGATACACAGACATAAAAATGATAACAGTATCGTGGTGTTTTTAGCAGAGGAATGAGTAGTAGGCACAGTGAAAGCGAAGCTTCCTTTTAAGCTTAGAAAAGATTATCAGGAAAGACTCAGGATGGAACATTCATGATATTCATGATAGATGTTGGAAATGTGTCTCAGGATAAGTTCGGTTCCTGTTTCCCAGGAGTCATCTTTGTCATCACTGCTGCTTCCCAGTTGGTGTTTGTATTGTGCTTTCCCTGTGTTAATGTGAGGCTTTTTCTTATCTCTCCCTCTTTGATAGCTCATCTCTGCAGTCTCTATGTGTTTTAGTGTTAGTGATTTAAGTTAATCACCTTTTAAAGGGCATCAGCCTTGATATAGCCTTGGCTTGTTAGGTACACTAGACATGCTGTTTAATAGTTAGCATTTGAATAAATGCTAGACAGGGTATTAGGCCAGGAGGTTACAAACATAATAAAACATACCTTTTCCATGTAAAAACTTACAACATAGTAATTTGGATCCAGAATATCCCCCAAAGCTCATATATTCAATGATTGGTTCCCAGGTTGGTGCTGTTGGATGTGGGGTGCATTGGAAGGAAGTTAGATCACTAGGGGCATTCCCTTAAAGGGGATTTAGGCTCCTTCCTGTTTCTGACCTCTATGATGTGAGTAGCATATTTTGCTACATGTTCTTATGGTGTGCTACTCTACCCTAGTCTAAAACACCAAAACACTGAGCCAACCAACCATGAACTGATACCTCCCAAACTGTGAGTACCTCCATGCTTTGAAAATGCTGTGTTTGGGATAAATTGAATATTCCTCTAATTTTGGTGTAGATGATGTCATAACCACAGTCAAGATAAACAGTATTTTTATCATTAACATGTTTGCTCTTGACCTTTTCGTGATCTGCCCCACTGCCAACCTTGTTTTGTAACCACTGATAGCTTCTGCCACGTTAGTCTTCCTTTTCTAGTATGTTCTGTAAATACTGTCATGTGGTCATTATGTATTCTTTATATATGGCTTCTTTCACTTAGCATATAGCAGTTTTGAGTTTTCCTTCTATTAAGGTATCAGTCACTGCTGTATCAGTTCATTGACTTTCATTTTGAATAGTATCCCATTGTGTAGGTGCACTTCAATTTGCTTACTCATTCATTTTTTTTTTTGGGGGGGGGGCGGGGATGGGTGTTTGGATTGCTTCCAGTTTCAGGCAAGTAAGTATGAAGCTTCTATAAATATTTGTGTAAAAGCCTTTGTGTGGTGGACATAGTTCTGTTTTTTGACAAAAAAATCCATGATAGAATGTTCTCTAAGTGTCAGTAACATCCAAGTAACTGCCTAGTGTTGTTCACCTTTTCAATGCCTGCTGACATTTCCTCTCTTAGTGTTGAGAAAAAAAAAATGTCTTCTACTTTGATTACGGCATTCTCTTCTGTGTCCTTTAATACTGTCAATTTTTCCTTATGTTTATATATCTGTGTTTTGCAGAGGAGTTGCTCCTTTCATCCTTGTGAGATCTACATTTTCATCTGTGGTATTTCTTTCTTGAAGCCTATTTATATTAAAATATTGTATATTTCTCCTCCTTAATTTTTTATTGTTATATTTACATTTGTTATTCCTGGCTCTGTTGAAAACCTCATAATTCAATGTATATTTAATTCTTTCTAGCCCTTTTCCCTTGGTGTGGAAATTTTCCCTTGGCATTTCTTACAGCCTGTGTTTGCTGTATCTGAGCATACCTTTCTTCGTTATCATGAAGAATATTTTTGTTGAATATAGAAGTATAGCTTGGTGGCTTTTTCCTTTCTCTTAGCAATTGTTGTCTTAAATATATTGTATTGTGCCCGTGGTTATATGAAAAAACATAATAATTTTAATTGCCTACCAATTGTTTGTCTATCTCTACAGTGTTTTCTGTTATTTTTTAAAGCTACTTTCCAGATTTTTACTTTTGCTTTCTTGATTTTCAGAAATGTGATTTTCATATTTTTTAGATACTGTTTTCTTTGAATTTATGTAACTACTCCTTTTTTCCCTCTTTGTTCTCCCACAGAGATCCTTTTTAAAAAAAATTAAATTATGTTTTTATATGTGTGAATGTTTTGCTTGTATGTGTATCAGTTCATC